GGATAGTTATCTTAGGGCCTCGTTTCCCTGCTCTGGATTGCAACACTCCACTGGACCGGCCACATTGTCCGGATGCCCGACCACCGTCTCCTAAAGCAGTTGCTCTACTCCGAACTCAAGAACAGAAAACAGAATGTTGGTGGGCAGGAAAAGAGATTTAAAGATGGGCTCAAAGCCAACCTGAAAAACTCTGGAATAGACACTGAGAACTGGGAAGTCCTGACCCTTGAGCACTTCAGCTGGAGGTCTGCTGTGACCAGCACTGCTGCAGAATTTGAAGAGGCATGAATGGAAGGTGGAAGAGAGAAATGTGCCAAGAGGAAGGCGCGCCAAGCCAACCCCGACCGTGACCGCCTTCCACCTGGAAACCGATGTTCTCACTGCGGGACAAGATGCAGGTCAAGAATAGAGCTCCACAGCCACCTATGGACCCACCTCCAGGACACAATCCTACTCGGTCAACGAGGGATCACCCAAGTAAAGTAAAATAGAGCACATGTAGTTCACTTTGGACCACTCCACACGCTGCCTTGCCAGAGAAAGAAAGTATGCCTTGCCAGAGAAAGAAAACATGCCGCACAGATGAACAGCAAAGAACAGGTAGTTTACTCTTCTTAATTCAGAACAACATACATACAATATCGACTCACATAATGTCCTTTTTCAGAGATTTATGAGCAACCAAAATGTGAATTTGGCCACTCGGGGAAATCCCAGTTGTGTCCCTAGATGGACACCTACTGTGTTGTTGAATGCACCGAGGGAGGAATGCGGTTGTGGAGAAGACAGGCCATCTCTTGAGGAGGGGGACTTGAAGAGACCACTCCCCTTTGAAGTTGAAAGGTCTTCCTCCCCACTCACTTCCCCAGGGATCCTGTCTGGCACCTGGGGCACCACCGAAGAATGGGTTGGGGGCCTCACATAGCGAGGATGAGATAAACCAGGAGGGTCTTGCAGATAAGCGGAGTTAACAGCCGCCGTGATAGATCAACAGAGGAACTTTTGCGCTCAAACAGACACACTCTTCTCCTATCTTTAGCATTGTTCGCATGCGAGGCTGTTGCTTGCAATTAATTGGCTTGGGCAATTCTCTTGTCCATTTAGCTTTGAGTTTCTTTCGGCACAATCTCTCAAGGCAACCTGAGGGAGAAGAAAACCATTCCACAGGATGGCCTTTTCTATCTGAAATCTATAGACCAAGAATGGGCAAATTTGGGCCTTCCCTCCAGGTGTTTTGGACTCCAACTTCCACTCTGTCTCTCCCAGCATTTGCACGGTTCAAGCCTGAATAATGTAACAGTGTCCAAAAGTCCCAGGCTCAGCCAACTCCTGGGCATGGCTCCCACCATTCCTAACAAACCCTTTTCTTTTCCCCCTCACCCACTTAAGCTATAAAGGAAAGGGGGGGGGGAAGGAAAGGAAGGGGCCTGAGGCTGTTAGGAATGGTGGGAGCCATGCCCGGGGAGTGGGCTGAGTCTGGGACTTTTGGATACTGTTACATTCTTCAGGCTTGAGCTATGCAAATGCTGGAATGTACTCTTGCTTCATGAGCTGCTGGAGAAAGATTCTCCACAAGGGCAAAGAAAGACCATCTTGCCACACCTTGATATTATTTGTTCTGGTTCCCAAAGCTCCTCACTCTAAGAACGTCCCGGTGTGCATAGACGAATAAGCAGGCAATGTTGTGGGTTTTCCTTGGAAGCGATGCTAGTATTTTGTGGAGAGCATAGCCACAAAGGGGCAGGCTTGCATCTGTGTTCCTTCATAGGGCAATATTGGCATGTCTGGGGAGTTGGCTGAGCCTGGGACTGTTGGGTACTGTTACATTATTCAGGCTTGAGCTATGCAAATGCTGAGAGAGACAGAGTTTGGAGTGTGTTCTTGCTTCGTGAGCTGCTGGAGGAAGAGTGTACCATTGTGCCCCCTCCCCAATATTTCCTTGCACCTTTATTCCTCTTCAGTCACAGTATTCACTTTGCATGCGCATTGTGCAGTGCGCACAGGCTGCTGAAGTAGCAGAAAGAGCTCTTGCTTGCTGGCTTGCTCCTTGAGCCTTTGACCGACTTTTCCTAATCGTTGTTTCTTTAGTCGAGGCAAGCGTTGACCGCAAGAAGCACTGTGTGCTCACTCTGGGACAAAGAACGCCGTTTGTTTCCCCAGTTTCTGTTTGCAAAGGAATCAAGAGTTTACCTTAACTTTCTAATCCTCTTGATTGATTCTGCTAACTGTGTCACCTTCCGCTTTGAACTGCCCAGGCTTAGAGGCACCGGTGGTCGGATTCTCATGCACCTGGTGCCTAGGATACACCTCCATAGGTCAGCTAGGAAGAGAGCCCTATATCTGCATGACTCCCATTAGAGTTAAGGTAATCCCATCGCTCCGGAATCAGGTCACAGGTGAGATTGCATTCTCTGCAGGCTTCCGATCTCTGGCATGTGACTCTTCTCACCTTTGGGATGAAGGCGTTGCAGGAACCACGTCAAAGTGGGCCAGCTCAGCACCGTGTTTGTGGATATGGCCTATTACAAATAGTAGTTTATTAATCATGCATGGAATGGACTGCCAATGTATTTGTTTATTTATTGTGTCAGAAGCGAATTGAGAATACAGTTATAATGTATAGAAAAATCACATCTGCATACTTCAATTCTCACATTGTGGGAGTTAAAGTCCAAAACACATCGGTCCAAGTTGGCCCATGCCTTTGTTCTCTTGGGACTGGACACTCCAGTCCATCAAGGGGTCATCTGCATACCCACGTTGTGGGTGTTGGGAGTCCAAAACACCTGGAGGGAGGGCCCAAATTGGTCCTCTTGGAACTGGACATGTCAGTCAATCAAGGGATCATGTGCATGGGAGTTGAGGTCCAAAACACCTGGAGTGTGGGCCCAAGTTGGCCCAGGCCTTTGTCCTCTTGGAAGTGGACATGTCACTCAAGCAAGGGATCACCTGCATATCCACGTTGTGGGAGTTGAGGTCCAAAACACCTGGAGGGAGGGCCCAAGTTGGCCCATGCTTTGCCCTCTTGGAACTGGACACTCCAGTCTGTCAAAGGATCATGTGCATTCCCAAGTTGAGGGAGTTGAAGCCCAAAACACTTGGAGGGAGGGCCCAAGTCAGATCTAGAAGATTTTACTATTTATATTGTTATCAATATTATTGTTGTGGGATCTGAAGTCCAAAACACCTGGAGGGAGGGCCCAAGTTGGCCCATGCCTTTGTCCTCTTGGAAGTGGACACTCCAGTCCATCAAGGGCTCATCTGCATACCCATGTTGTGGGAGTTGGAGTCCAAAGTACATGGAGGGAAGACCCAAGTTGGCCCGTGTCTTGGTCCTCTTGGAACTGGGCACTCCAGTCAATCAAAGGATCATCTGCAAATCCACCTTGTGGGACTTGGAGTCCAAAACACATGGTGGGAGGGCCCAAGTTGGCCCGTGTCTTGGTCCTCTTGGGACTGGACACTTCAGTCAGTCAAGGGATCATCTGCATACCCATGTTGTGGGAGTTGGAAGTCCAAAACACCTGGAGAGAGGGCCCAAGTCTGATCTAGAAGGTCTTAGTATTTAAATTGTTATCAATATTATTGTTGATAGTATTCTTATTTGAAACACAACAAGGTGAGTCCACAGAAGACACTCTGCTGGCACTGTACCCAGTGTGCCGCTCACCACTGGGACCCCCTTGACTGGCTTGTGCCAGAGTCTTTGCAGTTCGATCTTTAAATCCTTGTCTCGTGTTAGCTTTTCCAGTTGTTTCTCTGCAATCCTGCTGTCACCTGGGATTGTGACATGGAGAATCCATTATTATTATTATTATTATTATTATTATTATTATTATTATTATTCCAGCTGGAGACTTGGACCATCAATGATTGGGCTTCTGTTGAAGAGTCTAGGAGTCACTTAAATATTGTCACACAACATGCCACATTCCCAGCAATATAATTTCTTGTAGTTGTGTTCTTTATGGCGATTTGATCCCGGTGTGTTGTTGGTCCATTCCGAATTCCTCCTCGGAGTAATCAATAGAGCTGGAGCTGCTGAATGTATTTTCCCCAGAGCTGCTGAATGTCAATTGATAAGTCTCAGTATTTCATCATCATCATCATCATCATCATCATCATTATCATCATTATCATCACCTCCATCATCATTTATCATTCTTGGTGTAGCGATTACTACTGATAGTAGTACTGGTAGGCTTAGGAATTGTGGGAGTCGATGTCTAAAACACCTGGAGGGCCGAAGTTGGCCCATGCCTGGCCCAGTTTATGTGTCCTGTGCCCAAACGTATCTCCTGCTATGATCTACCTAGGACCCTAAGATCATCTGGGGAGGTCCTGCTCGTTGTCCCCCCATCATCGCAATCGCGTCTGGTGAGGACAAGGGACAGCAGGGCCTTTTCTGTGGTGGCCCCTCAGCTGCGGAACTCCCTCCCAAGCGAAATTCGATCAGCTCCATCCCTCCTGACCTTTCAGAAACATGTGAAATCCTGGCTATGGGATCAGGCCTTTGCAGACTAGGCTGATCCGCTGGCAAAGCGACGGCTTGAATGGACTTGCTGGACTGCTTTTAGGACGATGGCTTAAATCGGCGACTGTTTGAATATTTTTGTTTAAATTTATATTTATGCTTTTGGTTGTGGGCACCATGGCTAACCGCCCTGAGTCTCTCTACAGATGTCAAGATAGGACGGGATACAAATGTCCAAAATAATAAACAAACAAACAAACAAACAAATGCCTGCTTTGGAAACACTTTAGAAACGAAATGCCAACGTTGGCCTCAAAGTTTTGCAATGACTTTGAAACATTTTTTATCTATCTTATTCTGTGATGTGTTGATTCTCGGGCAGCCAACGAAGGCGCAAAGTCCCTTCCTTGCCAGTCTGTGGCCTTGGGTGGGGAAGCAGCCGTGCAGTGATGCTCTTGAGCCCGGCGCATGGCTGCGGCGCCTCCAGGCCGGAGATCCAGGCCATGTTTTCCAACGGCTTCAGCATTGTGGTGAGTGGACAGCGAGCCTGTCCAGCTTGCTAAGGGCAAAGCATGGAGTCGGTCAGCGTCTCAGCATCCTCCTCCTCCTTGGAAGGAGACGTGGTGGTGGTGGTGGTGGTGGTGGTCTTCTGAGCCTGGGATGTGAGCAGATCCTGAGGCTGATCAGACAGCAAGAGTTTGCCATGGAGTTCCGAATAGTTGTCCTGCTTGCGCTCTCTCTCTGGATTTGGGGTGAGTAGCTCCGTCTGATGGATCTGGTGCTGGCTTTGGTGGCAAAACAACAAACCTAGAGTCACTATTTTGGAGCCGCAACGGCCACTTTGGCCACAACTTTAGCAAAAGCGAGTTAGTCATCCCAGAACTTTCCAGGCAGGAGTGTGTTGTACATCGGCTTCAAACTGATGCGGATTGGTGGTGGAAATGTGGATGGAACTGGGCTTTGGATTTAAGGTTTTGTGTCCTTCTATGACAGTGGTTCTCCACCTTCCTAATGCCGCGACCCCTTAGTACAGTCCCTCATGTGGTGGTGACCCCCCAACCATAATATTGTTTTTGTTGCTACTTCCATAACAGTCATTTTACTATTGTTATAAGTCATAATGTAAATATCAGATATGCAAGATGTATTTTCATTCAGTGGACCAAACTGGGCACAAATACCCAATGCACCCAAATGTGAATGCTAGTGGGGTTGGGGGAGGATTGATTTTGTGATTTGAGAGCTGTAGTTGCTGGGATTTATAGTTCACTTATAATCAAAGAGCATTCTGAACTCCACCAGAACCAAACTTGGCTCCCATGACCAACAGAAAACACTAGAAGGGTTTGATGGGCATTGACCTTGAGTTTGGGAGTTGTAGTTCACCTATATCCAGAGAGCACTGTGGACTCATGCGATGGTGGACCTGGACCAAACTGGGCACACTCAATACACCCAAATGTGAATGCTAGTGGGGTTGGGGGAGGATTGATTTTGTAATTTGGGAGTTGTAGTTGCTGGGATTTATAGTTCACTTATAATCAAAGAGCATTCTGAACTCCACCAGCAATGGATTTGAACCAAACTTGGTTCCCATGACCAATGGAAAACACTGGAAGGGTTTGGTGGGCATTGACCTCGAGTTTGGGAGTTGTAGTTCACCTATATCCAGAGAGCACTGTGGACTCAAACAATGGTGGATCTGGACCAAACTTGGCACAAATACTCAGTATGCCCAAATGTGAACACTGGTGGAGTCTGGGGAAAATAGATCTTGAGTCGTGTGATGGCTGAGAAGAGCGGTATACAAGTGAAGTAAATAAATTTGGGAGTTGTAGTTGCTGGGATTTATAGTTCATTACAATCAAAGAACATTCTGAACTCCACCAACAATAGAATTGGCTCAAACTTCCCACTGGGAATCCCCATGACCATCAGAAAATACTGTGTTTCCTGATGGTCTTTGGCGACCCCTCTGACACCCCCTCGCAACCCCCTCAGGGGTCCCAACCCCCAGGTTGAGAAACACTGTTCTATGAGGATTTTTTGTGTGGAAGAGGTGCCTGGAGATGTTATTGACCAGGAGAGCTGTTCAGCAGTGGAACTCTCTGCCCCGGAGTGTGGTGGAGGCTCCTTCTTTGGAGGCTTTGAAGCAGAGGCTGGATGGCCATCTGTGGGGGGTGCTTTGAATGCAATTTTCCTGCTTCTGGGCAGAATGGGGTTGGACTGGAGGATGGCCCACCACGTCCCGTCCAACTCTAGGATTCTATGCATCCACAGGTGGTTTCCTGCACACAAAAAACCCACATCTCATTGATTGTAATGTGCACACTCATGTCATTATCACCAGTGGGAAAAAGCATTCTATATACTAACACTAATACTAATAATTGCACATCTAAGATGCACTTTATTTTTGGACACCTTAGAGGGGGGTCTGGAAGAAATACAGTCGATCAGGCTCTCATTAGAGTCGCTCCCTCAAAAGCAAAGTGTGTAGTCGAAGGCTTTCACGGCCGGAATCACTGGGTTGTTGTAGGCTTTTCGGGCTGCCTGGCCATGTTCTAGAAGCATGCTCTCCTGACATTTCACCCCCATCTAAGGCCAAAGGCATCCTCAGAGGTTGTGAGGTCTGTTGGAAACTAGGAAAATGGTGTTTATATGTCTATGGAAAGTCCCGGGTAGGAGAAAGAACTCTTGTCTGTTGGAGGTAGGTGTAAATGTTTGCATTTGATGGCCTGACAATTTGTGACTTGTTATTGCCTGGGAGATTCCTTTGTTGAGAAGTGATGAACTATCCCTGATTGTTTCTTGTCTGGAGTTCCTGCTTTGTGTGTGTGTGATCATTAGCCGCCTTGAGTTCCCTTGGATATAAGTCAAGTAAATAGTAATAGTAATAGTAATAATAATAATAATAATAATAATAATAATATAAGACTCTGGCCCAAGCCAGTCAAGGTGGTCCCAGTGGGGATCGGCACACTGGGTGCAGTGCCTGTGTACTCATCTTGTTGTGTACTTAATAATTATTGTGTACCTAATAATAATAATTATGTTATAATAATAATAATAATAATAATAATAATAATAATAATAATTAAAAGATTCTGGCACAAGCCAGTCAAGGTGGTCCCAGTGGTGACTGGCACACTGGGTGCAGTGCCTAAGGACATTGGCCTGCACCTAAAAACAATAGGCGCTGACGAAATACCACTTGCCAGCTGCAGAAGACCACCTTGCTGGGATCTGCACATATTATTTACTGATACATCACTTGGGAAGGGTCCGACAGGTGATCCAATACAACAGCCAGCGGAGTGACCTTGTTTGCTGTGGACTCATCTTGTGGAGTTTTTAAAAAAAATAATGATTGGTATACTGGGTGGAGTGCCTAGAGACCTTGGCCTGCACTTAAAAACAATCGGTGCTGACAAATGACCCCCCCGTCCGCTGCAAAAGGCCACCCTACTGGGATCTGCATGCATTGTTTGCCGATATATCACACCGTCCTAGACACTCGGGAAGTGTCCGACGTGGGATCCAATACAACAGCTGGCAGAGTGGTCTTGTCTGCTATGGACTCATCTTGTTGTGTTTCTAATAATAATAATAATAATAATAATAATAATAATAATAATAATAAGCCAGTCAAGGCGGTCCCAGTGGGGATCGGCACACTGGGTGCAGTGCCTCAAGACCTTGGCCTGCACTTAAAAACAATTGGTGCTGACAAATGACCACCTGTCCGCTGCAAAAAGCCACCTTACAGGGATCTGCTCACATTATTTGCCGATACATCACACAGTCCTAGACACTTGGGAAGTCTCCGATGTGTGATCCAATACAACAGCCAGCAGAGTGACCTTGTTTGCCGTGGACTCAACTTGTTGTGTTCCTAATAATAATAATAATAATAATAATAATAATAATAATAATAATAATAATAATAATAATAATAATACACCACACAGTCCGAGACACTTGGGAAGTGTCCGACGTGTGATCCAATACAACAGCCAGCAGAGTGGCCTTGTTTGCTGTGGACTCATCTTGTTGTGATTCTAACAACAACAACAACAACAATACATCACACAGTCCGAGACACTTGGGAAGGGTCCGTCGTGTGATCCAATTCAACAGCCAGCAGAGTGACCTTGTTTGCTGTGGACTCATCTTGTTGTGTTTCTAATAAATAACAACAACAACAACAACAACAACAACATGTCCTAGACACTTGGGAAGGGTCCGACGTGTGATCCAATACAACAGCCAGCGGAGTGACCTTTTTTGCTGTGGACTCATCTTGTTGTGATAATAATAATAATAATAATAATAATAATAATAATAGATCTCATTTGCTGTGACGTACTGTGTTTTTGTGTCAATAATAATAATAATAATAATAATAATAATAATAATAATAAATCACAGTTCTAGACACTTGGGAAGTGTTTGACTTGTGATTTTGTGATATGAAATCCAGCATAGAGATCATATTTGTTGTGACATACTGGGTTTTTGTGTCAATAATAATAATAATAATAATAATAATAATAATAATACAGTCCTAAATACTTGGGAAGTGTTTGACTTGTGATTTGTGATACGAAATCCAGCATATCGATCTCATTTGCTGTGACATATTGGGTTTTTGTGGCACTAATAATAATAATAATAATAATAATAATAATAATAATACAGTCCTAAATACTTGGGAAGTGTTTGACTTGTGATTTGTGATACGAAATCCAGCATATCGATCTCATTTGCTGTGATGTACTGTGTTTTTGTGTCAATAATAATAATAATAATAATAATAATAATAATACAGTCCTAAATACTTGGGAAGTGTTCGATTTGGGATTTTGTGATACGAAATCCCGCATAGAGATCACATTTGATGTGACATATTGGGTTGTTGTGTCAATAATAATAATAATAATACAGTCTTAAATACTTGGGAAGTGTTTGACTTGTGATTTGTGATACGAAATCCAGCATATAGATCTCATTTGCTGTGATGTACTGTGTTTTTGTGTCAATAATAATAATAATAATAATAATAATAATAATAATAATAATACAGTCCTAAATACTTGGGAAGTGTTCGATTTGGGATTTTGTGATACGAAATCCCGCATAGAGATCACATTTGCTGTGACATATTGGGTTGTTGTGTCAATAATAATAATAATAATACAGTCTTAAATACTTGGGAAGTGTTTGACTTGTGATTTGGTGATACAAAATCCAGCAAATCTATCTCGTTTGCTGACATACTGTGTTTTTGTGTCAATAATAATAATAATAATAATAATAATAATAATAATAATAATAATAATATAAAAAAAATCACACAGTCCTAAATACTTGGGAAGTGTTCGACTTGTGAATTTGTGATACGAAATCCACCAAATCTATCTCGTTTGCTGGCATACTGTGCTTTTGTGTCAATAATAATAGTAATAATAATAGCAGTAAGCAAGGTCCTGTGCATGATGTGTGTATGTGGGGGAGGATATAAATTGCAGGCACATGACTCAATGCGGTTCGCAGTCTTTTTGAATGCCATGCGTGAGACAAAAGCGTGGTGCTTTGGCGGTTAAGAAAGAGGTCACGCAGGGAAGATGTGCAGAGAATATTATCTCCTTGGCCTGGCAAAAAAAGGAGCTGTTCGTCCCTGCGGAAAACCACAGTTGAGGCTGGACTCTCATTGTCCTCCTTGCTCTCCTTTCCACTGACCACAGGCTCA